GTGTGTGTGTGTGTGTGTGTGTGTGTGTGTGTGTGTGTGTGTGTGTGTGTGTGTCTGTCTGTCTCTCTCTCTTGCGCGCGCGCGCACACCCACCGACACACAGTTCGTGTGAACCCCACGAAAAAAGCATGACTGTGCCAGACTGTTTCGTTGGACTTTCACCAGCTCATCAGGAGGTTGAACTCCGACAGTCTGCCCATGATGCATTTGCATGCATGTGTGTGTTCGTGCTTGTCTGTGTCTACGTGCATGTGCTTGTTCGAGCGGACGGGCGGGCATTCGTGTGAGTGCGTGCTGTGCGCTGCTAACGATATGCGGGGGGGCCGAACCGCAGAGCCCAAGAGGAGACCCACACATCCAGGCCGTTCGCGGCAATCCAGGTTGGGTTGCAGAAAGCACTTGAGCTCTTCCGTCATTGGGCAGGACCCGTGCATCCAGGCCGCCAAAGATATGCGGCAAGGGCGGTACAGGTAGTCCAAACATTGGGCGGCGATCCAGGCCGTTCACGGGCCCAACGGCCCCGATTGCCCCGCGATCTTAAAGTTTTAAGATCGCAGGGCTATCCAGGCCGTCGGGCCGGTAGGACCGCGAACGGCCTGGATGGCCGCGCGATCTTAAAATCTTAAGGTAGCGGGGCAATCCTAGCCGTCGGGCCGGTAGGTCCTTGGACGGCCCGGATCCAAAAATTCTCACATTAGGAACTTAAGTGTAGCGAAGTTGGGCACCAGAGAAAGCCGTTTTTTTACGTGTGTTTCGATGAAGATCCTCCGAACGAAGATCACCAGCTGGGTTCCCAAAGGAAGGACTTAAAAAGCTATCACACGTGGCAGATGAGACTCTGGAGTCGAATTCCACGCAGTCTGCAGAGGAGACCGGTGAAAGGAGTTTGAGTAACGATGAAGGGTTCACTCCAGTGCACAGGGGAAGAAGCTTGAAGGTGGACAGCAGGATGTATGTTGGAGTTGCCAAAGAACTGGAGTATTTCAGTGACACCGGCAGCATGATGAGAGGGAACACAACCCTCAGAGAAAAAAGAGAGGGAAGCACCTATTGTCCAGGGAGAGCAACGGTAGGCAATCCTCACTGCGGTCAGCAGGTATAGCACGCCGTGAAATCTAATGCCAATGGAAAGCAGCAACAGGAGCAGCAGCAACAGCAGCAGAAGCAAGATAGGAACAAGCAGAGCCGAATTTGAGACCATTAATCAGTGGAAAATTAGATGGAATTGCGGCCAAGAGAGCAACAGTCAGACTGAGCGCGTGAATCACACCGTTCAGCAGATGGTGTGCAATGCGACAAGGTCTAGCCAGATTGACTGGGATCAGAAGTTGGCAAGTTGGCCAAGGTGGAGAGCGAATACTTCAACTTTCCGTGGCACAGCAAGGACACCGTACAAACTGAAATTCCTGTGAAAGCCGCATACGCCACCTGATTTTCTGGTCCCCAACTTGCCGCAGAAGAAGGTACCCTCCTGCTATATTACAGCTCATTATACAGTTCGCTGATGAGCTGTGAGTCCATGCACCACAGACCTTCACTATTCAAGGAGATCTTTTACGGGTCATCCTGGATGAGCTCTCCCAGGAGACAGGAGATTCATAGAAACTGCTGACAGAGTGGTATGGGCAATGGAAGTATCAATGGTGACTGGAGAAGTCCCAGATTGGCTGTCATATCTGATCAAATACCGCGCCGTCAGGAGATTCAAAGAAACTGCTGCCAGAGTGGTATGAGCAATGGAAGTATCAATGGTGACTGGAGAAGTCCCAGCTGATGAGGTATATACTATATACCGTCCAAGCTTGAAGGAAGCCAGCGTATCCACCCCCCTACTATGGATAGAGAGCAGAAATTGAGAAGTCGTCAACCACCAATATGTACAAACACCATGGAAAACAGGAAGGCCAGACAAGAGATCTACAGAGTCAGGTTTCTGTATTATCCGGAGGAAGAAGATGAGTGGAGAGAGGGTGTCATTCGAATGGAGCCTACATTGCAGATTTCTGGGGCATACGAGAGTGCACTCGCAGAAGAGAACAAGAGAATACCAAGGCTATACTGTGAACGGCGTGAAGGAATCTTTTATTATAAGCCGGCCCAGCGCCCAAGTCCATACCAAGGGCCAACAGGTCCTCACCCTCGGGCTGAGAGACCAGCTCACTAAGAAACATAAAAAAAAGGCACTCAAATAGGTGTTCATGGGATATGTTTAAAATTTAAATCAAACAAGTCCCCAAATTGGCAGAGGGACCCAGTCTACCTCAGTGGCAACCTCATTCATCACTTGGTAAAACCCCAGCTCCAACCATCAGGCAAGGAAAACAGAGAAGCCCAATCTAGTGCTGCAAACCGGCTCAAAATGAAATGTGAGCATTCACGGAATCGCAGCCCAGCATTGCAGTTGGTACCTGCACCACAACAACAATGTGTATGTGTGCATGCATGCATGTGATTCGAACTCCCATCGTTTTTTTCCCTACGGCACCACCAAAACCCAGGAAACAACGGAAAACAAACACCCCCCGCCGAAAAAACACAGCAGCGCTCGAAAGGAGTTCAGCCCGCTGCTGCACACTGTGAAGAGAAGATGACCGAGCACAAAGAAAACAAAACATCGGGTTCAGCCCGCCGCTGCACACTGTGAAGAGAAGATGACCGAACACAAAGAAAACAAAACAGAATCTCCTCAGACACCACAATTGACAACACAAAACGAAAGGAGGCTTTACGTCGCTTATCGGCCATTCTGCTGAAAACACAGCAACACAAGCACCATGTCTCGATGAAACAACACAGAGCAAGCACCACATGTCTGTCTGTGCCCACGTTGACGTGTTCGCAAACCGTAGTGACTTAGTCCACAAAACTTCTGTTTTAGATCGCCAAATCATGAAATCGGACTACTGTGCTCTCTCGCCCACAAAACCTTTGCTTCAGCTGCCGATCGCGAAATCAGACGACCGTGCTCTCCCGCAGACTTGGAGTGCATAGAGGTGCCCACAGCTGATAAACTTCAAGAGAGTTGTGTAGATCACAATCATTTAGAATATCGTGTATAACTTGACAGAAAGGATGAAAAGGGGTTGTTGTGGTGATTCTAAAATGCATACTCATACAAAGGGAGCCGTTGTGCTCCAAAACACTCGTTGTGCATTCATCCTGCCTCAGTTGCAGCTGAAGCTGAAAGTAATCGACTTCCCGACCATTGGCAGCGAATGAGCCCCAAAACACATAACAAAAAACTAAGGGCAGATACTTCTAATTGTCTGCAGAGCTTTCAGTGGATATACAGATCAGCAGGCGTTAACTGGCACCATCTGCAAACATAAACACAAGATCCTCTCACCTCTCCAGCCTTGGACTTCTCCAATCTTTGCAGCTTCTGTTCAAGGAGCTGCTTGTCCTTCAGTGTCTTCTTTGAAGCCTGGTCAAGTTGCCGCAGCTCATCTGTCTTTGCCTTCAGTTCAGACTTCAACTCCCTTACCTATTAGAATTCCACCATCACCATGACCATCAGCACCACCGGTGCCATCCGAAAGGATTAGAATGCAATTACTCCATATTGTTGCTACTTTTATTGCTAGTGCCTCTTACATACTTTGGTTCTTGACTTAGATCATAACCATAAGCAATCCCCATGTAGGTCATCACCGCCGTTGCCATCAAGTTTATTATTAATTTATTAGTGGTACGATTACTGATTGAAGTTTCTACATTCATTGCCAGAGCACTTGAAACCCTAGGTAGTAGGTACACTTTGGTTTGTGACTCAGATCTTCAGCACATGCATCCTTTACTATTCTTGCTTTCGTACTACCTTTTTAATACCCTTCAGATTACACAACAATGGATCTCCGTCTTTGGGATTATCAATGGTCAAGGAACAAACATGAAATATCAGACCATGGAATTTCCAAACACTTGGATATACCTGCTTTTAGGGTTACTCCCAGATCACCTTCTGAACACTTTCACCCAACTAACTTCCCACCAGTTAGTGCATCAACAGCCACACACGAAACCCCCTTCAGAAATTCCTAATAACTTTGGCACAGAAGTGACAGAGCCCATCGAGGTGCAATATGGGGCCCTGTGTGGCTTTGAAAGAAGTCAAGTAAGACTGTCCCCGCTTCACACCTGCACACAAACTGCAGGTATAAATCTAGCCAGCAACCGTGAGATGTGCATGCAACTTTACCAGTTGTACTCAGAGAAACCAGTTGGCTTGTTCTGGCCCCTACTCACGAATGTGCCACACTATATAAATTCTCACCTGATTTTCCAAGCTGCGGATCTTTTGCTGCTGCTCCTTCATTTCTGATGGCATCTCCTTCCGGCTAGGCATTGAACGGGCTGAAACAGGTCTCCTTGCTGGGCTGGCAGTTGGAGAGCTTTCTGCTTCTGCTTGTAGTGCTGCTACCTGAGGTGGGAAGGAAGTCTCTGGGATTGTCTCAGCTGATGCTGCCTTTGTTTCCCCAGCGGCCAAAGCAAGCTGCATTCATTGGTCGAAATGCCACATCAGCTGAGGTCACAACAATCACAGTATGAACGAGGAGAGGATGCAAGGACGTGGAATAGTAATAAATTGTATATGCATCACGCAGAGTGACAATGCGAAGGACTTGTCCATATGCAGGGAGCACGGGATTAAGAAACGGGGTAAGAAAGAAATGGGGGCAAGCGGATGGGGTGGAGAGACAGACAGACGAAGAAAGACAGAGACCCAAAAGGAGGACAACAGAGAACCAAAGGACAAAACAAAAAAAAACACAGAGAGAGAAAGGGAGACAACAGAGAGGGGGACAAAAAATTGCAAAGAAAACGCGGATAGAGATGTAAGCTGTGAAGTTTGAGAGAGGCAACCATAAATGCAACGATCCCACTTTCACACACCGCTTGGACAAGTCAAAGATTCACACTTTGTCAAACATCTTCACACAAAGAAAGTAAGAAAGAGAGTTGACCAATCTTCACCATCGAAGTGTTGGCCAACCCTCTTCCACCACATTGCTCACTGTCCCAAGAACAACTTGTGACCGGGCACCATCCCTACTGTACAAGATGTCTGACCAACGTTGAAAGCTTTCTTACTATACAAGATGCCCAACCCACTATGGTGCCCAAGGACAACCTCTGACTGAGCTATGATGACCAGCTATGGTGCCCGACCAGCTATTGTACTGTAGCAGCCAAACGGGGTCTTTCGTCTTCCTTTCATTATGGTGACCAGTATGGTGCCTGACCAGCTATTGTACTGTAGCAGCCAAATGGGGTCTTTCGCCTTCCTTTCATTCCCCTTTTTCTCTTTCTTCCGTTCTTCCTTTATTTATGTGTTTCATCCTTTCTTTCTTTCATCCTATCGTCCTTCCTTCTTCCCTCCCTCCCTTCCTTTCTCCCTTCCTTCCTACCTCCCTCTGTTCCCCACAGTAGCTTTTGACTCGGGTGTGATTGCCTATGCTACTGCCTAGTTTAGCCTATCTATCTCATCCACCATGCCATTCAGCTCTGTGACTCTATCCGGTGCTACCGATGACCACTTGAAAAGACTGACCCCCCTTAGACCTCTCCCTGCCAACCAACATGCAAGTGTTGGCCAACCTTCTCCCACAACATTCCTCACTGTCCCGCGGACAACCTTGACCGAGCAGAATCCCTACTATAAAAGACAAGGGTACCTGTTGTGGCTTCGCTCGCAAGGGATTGAGCGGGAAATGGGAGAAATGAGTCAGGGTGGTGGGTTCGGTGGGTTTTGGGGTGGTGATCTGGGGTGTTTTTAGACTCATGAATGGGGGGTTGTTCCCTAACAGCCATGGAAATGTGGGCAGCACCTCCTGCTAGTTGGGGAGGTTCTGCAACAGCTGGCTTTGGAAATCGGCATGCTATGTCTACCCCTACTGTCTTCCCCCGAATCTAGCCTGAAATCCAGCGGCGTACCTTGGTTGGTATGGCACGCAAGTGGCATTCATAAGGTCTTGGGTTCAATCCCCGTTGGCCTCATGTACCTTCCTGGGCAAGCTTGGCGCCAGGCACATAGAGAAAGACCGGAGGGGAGGCACGTCCTTTTTTCCCCGAGCTGTGGAGGTGTGGCGGAGGAGCAGCAGTGAAGAAGCGGGGGAAGAGGGAGGAGGAGGGCGGCAGGAGCAGAGAAGTGGGGGATGAGCCAGGTAGTTAGTTTGGGGTCTCTCTCTCTCTCTCTCTCTCTCTCTCTCTCTCTCTCTCTCTCTCTCTCTCTCTCTCTCTCTCTCTCTCTCTCTCT